ACTCTGCATCTCATATACGTACGATGTGAGCTCATTCATCAAGTCCTGACGTTCGCGCTCAAGCTCATCAATTTGATTAAGCCTTGCCTTTCAAGAAACGACGGATTTCTGCATTAGTGTGTTTATTCGATTAAAAGTCTTTAGCGTATATTTATTAGCTCACTTGGAAGTTGGCAAACTCATCCATTTGGGTGTGGGGTAGCTGGAAAGTCATCGCCTTGACTGCAACATCACGGGGACGGAGAACGATCTTCTTCTCGATCCTCCTCGTAGGTTGTGAGGGTGATTGATTAGCAACAGCCGTCTCAGTTGTACCGGATGCAGCACCACCTGTGGGTGGCTGTTCTACACCACCTTCCGTTTTCGGCGGCTGTGTCTCAGTTTCCATGTCAGTTTCAATGGCGTTTGCAACAGTAGAAGCCTCTGGTTTTGGGTCCTCAATTGCAACCTCAACTTTCTCTACTACCCGCTCCAAAACACATGCGTTGCAGATCGTGAAGATGCCGTTTGAATTTACGCGAGCCTCGATCCTCACCTGACAACAATTATCCGGTGGAGTGGGAACAATGTCCTTAATTAGAAACGATCCGATCCGAGAATCACCGATGTGCAATCCCTCCGGATGGGAGTAGCTAGCTGTCAGATCAAAACCACTCTTTCGATAGAATGTGAGTTTTTTTGAGGCAGGGACGCTGGACAGATGCTTGAAGATCTCACATGAGTTGTTCTTTACGATTTCACTGGAATCCCTGTCACCAACTACCACTCCACCGTCTGTAGGTTTCCAATGAAGTGAAATTGAGTAAGGACAGGCATCAACAATGGAGAATTCACGAAATCTGCGTGTAGATGAGCAGATAGCCGCCTAAAGAATATTCACTCGATGGTCAAACAACAAATAGGATAGCCTAACCGACTAAAAAAACGCACCTGTAATGCACACCCACGTGCTACCGCCTCATCCGCATTCAGAGTTGTACTACCTTCCATCCCAAATACCTCCCTTACCAACGTTTTCACCGCGGGAATACGAGTGCCACCACCAACGAGTTCGACCGAGTAAAGGTCTCCCAGTTTCAGAGTTGATAAGGCCAGTGCCCTCTCCATCGTCTGCTTTACCCTCAAGAGCAAAGGCCTGCAAATTTCCTCAAAAAACTCCCGTTTCATTTTCAAGGAAATATCAGTATCCTCCATAAGACACTCCACATTGATAGGGATTTCAGTAGAGTTAGCACTCATGGTTTTCTTTAAGCCCTCACAACTTTTAAGCAACCGGACACACGCTTTTGCATTCGACATCACCTTCAGGTTGTACTTCTTCTCAATCTCCTTGACTAGGTGTCTAAAAATACACATGTCGAAGTCTCGACCACCTAGGCAGGGATCCCATGCGGTTGAAATGACCCTCATTTTACCGGCGTTGAACGCAACAATGGCAACCTGAAGGTTCGAATTTCCCAAACTGACAAAGGCGACGTTTCTGGATGGCTGGCCTACAGCTGGCAAGTCCTTCTTAAGGTAGCCGTAGGCAATGCCGACTACAAACTTAATGACATGGATAACTCAACCTTACTTGCAGTTGTTTCGTTCACCAGCCTCATACAATTTAGTCCAGCTATCCTCGCAGCGTCGAGGAATGCATTACGTTCACGATCCGTATAGTAGGAAGGAACACTTAAAACAACATCCACGACCTTCGTACCAAGGTTGGATTCAGTAACCAGAGCAAGTTTGTGCAAATGCATGGCGAGGACTTGTTCCGGAAGAAGAACCATAGGTTTGCCATTAACTTTAACCTAGAAACGCGTGATTTACCAAGCAAACCGAACCTGGAAAGCCGCTCTTCCTTGCCTGTCCGAAACAATATGGAAGAAAGTGTGCTCACGCTCGAAGTTGACAACAGGATCGTTCTCCATTTTTCCGATTAGGCGAGAAAATGACGTTATGGTATTGGCCACATTGGTTGCCATTTGCTGCTCAGCAGCAGATCCAAGAAGTCGGGCCTTACCGTCAAAGGCGACGCACGAACTAAGAGCAGATAGAAGATTTTATACACTTACGGTGTACGCCTATCGCCAAACTCATTAGCTAATATCTCAAATCCGCCACCTTTCGCTGCCCCGATAAAGCTAGTGAGACTGCCAACATCAAAACCGACGACAGGAGACAACATCACAACACAACCCACACCACAACAGTCTAGGTAAACTGACTGCTCAACCGAATTATTTTCCCCAACAATAGGTCATTAAAACAAAATTTAGATTGTAATAGAAAAAATTGAAATAACTAGTAATTTTGTGTAGTCAGTATAACTAATTCTTAACGAAACTTCTAAATACTACCTATGGCACAACAAAAATCCAGAGGAAATCATGAATGTCACTGTCTTCATTTGAGGTAAAGTTGTTCTCATCATACCTAGATACAGCTGCGTTTCATTTCATTAAGATAATATGAGCAATTAATTGTGCTGGAATTGTTTATTAAAAATGCAAAATTTCCTGATTGTTTTTAAAACTCCATACACGTCCCTGTTAATTGATGCTTTTAGAACGATTATCTTTACGATATAAGTGCAATACGATGGGGGTTAATCCCTCGGTACTGGTGAGGCGCCACTTTTGTGCCGTGATTTATCCTTCTTGTACCTCGCTGAGTGGGCTGGCCCTTGGGCCATGCCAATGCCCCAAGCGCCTTTTCTGTGTTGAATATATATATATGTAATACGATAGTGGTTTATCCCTCGGTTCTGGTGAGGCGCCACTTTTGTGCTTCGAATTAGCCCCCTTGTACCTCGCTGGGTGGGCTGGCCTTTTGGGCCATGCCAATAGCCCAGACACCTTCTCCGTGCTGAATATATATTCTGCCCGAGTATTGTGTCTTCTTTCGTCTTCAGGGAGTCCCGGGACGCTACATATACATATATATTCTGCCCTAGTATTGTGTCTTCTTTTGTCTTTAGGAAGTCTTGGGACGGTATACAAGAGTGCTTGATTGTTCTCGTCCAAAAAGTTTCAAGTGCGTACTTCAGAATCAAGTAGTATGCAGATTCTATAATACAAGAAAGCCTATGACAAAATTACTACAGAAACACGTTTGAGACATAAGTTTGCCTCGAATAACTACACATCACTCGCGTGGCCTCCAAAGTCTTTATTAAAGTCAGAGAAAAGACATGATAATATGGCTTAAAATGAATAATTAACGTAGAGTAGAGCTGAGGCTTCTGAAGCGAACCAGACTTCATGTTGCCAAGCAAGGTACAATATTCGAAAGCCTGGGCGTTAGTGTAATCAAAAAAAAGGTGAACGAGCTATCAGCGGATGGCACATGGATATTGCGAAGCTTACTACTCATTATACACACAGGTGTGGGGTTGTACATGCATGCAGCACAAACATCTATTGCACCTTGAATGCACTTTAATGCCGCTGCAAGCTAAAATGCTTCACAAGAACTTAGGTGCAGATGTGAAGGACATTTCGGGGAGTGATAGCATGCCTTGCGGACGACGTGCCAGATGGCATATACCAAGATAGTCCAATATACAGCTGAACTAAATATCAAGCTTTTGTGCCTCCTTCTGTCCGCTGACAACACATTTTCCATTTCAGGACATTGTCTAATAATGCACCAAAAGGCCGTGCTGTGATACTCAACATTATCGCATCGCAAAATCCCAAAGGCTGTAAAATTGTGAGGTTCGTAGAAAGGCTCTCAAGGGCGACTAGTGTAATGATATACGGTTTATGAGGAACGCTGTGCTGACGAAATGCTGTTATAAGCTGGACAAACAGCCCAAATTTGCTTACAGTCTAAATTTTAGCAAGAAAGGCACAACGCTTACCTTGAAAAAGACCTCATTTTAGCCCCGAAATATTTACATTTGTTGACACCCAATGGAAATACTGCTAATCGAGCAACAATTCTTCGCCCACCTAACCCAGTTTGGCATTCGTGGGTGTGAGTTATCGTAGGTTGTATTATCGCGTTACTAATCCGGCAATGCCGAAGAAATTTGGGACAAATACAAAATCCCAGGAGGCTCGGGAAAAGAAGGAGGCCGCTAAAGAGCTCCAGAAAGCGAAAGAAGCCAAAGCAGAAGAAGACGCCTACTGGGAAGACAATGATAAGCATGTTAACCGTAAACTTCAACGCAAGGTATTAAGCATTTTGAGGTAATGATTTCTATAGGATGAGAGAGAAGCCAAACGAGTGGAGGCGATGAAGAGAAGACAGGAATTGAGGAAACTGCATGACGAAGAAATGAAGAGTTTGCAGGGTGCCAGTGCAAAAACCCCAGCTTCTAACCCGAATAAGTTGACACAAGCGCAGATCGCTGCTGCTAGGGCGAGACTCAATGCTCAGTTAGCTGCTCTAGCGCCTAAAAGGGATGTTGACAACCTAGCTCCTCTAACGGAGAATCCGAATCGCGTTGCCGATGACGTGATTGAGGCAAGAACGGTTGAAGATGCTATTAAGGCTCTAAAGTAAGACTGCTTATCCGCATTCTGTCCTGTACTCAACTTCTCTCTCTGTTAATGCCTACTCTCTGTTGGTTACGTTTACCCATCTTCGTTTGTAACGGTGACAAGGGTAAAGCTAAACTTGTATTTATTGTGCTTTGTAGTGTAACAGGTGACAGCCCCACAGAGAAACATCCAGAGAGGAGACTGAAGGCAGCCTATTTGGCCTACGAGGAGAAGATGCTGCCCGAGCTAAGGAGGGAGTACCCCGGAATGCGACACTCACAGCTCACCCAGATGATCTTCAAGAGCTTCCAAACCGCGCCGGAGAACCCCAAGAATCAGGCTCATAAGCAATACAATGAAAAGTGAAGAATACCGCATCTCTTTCCACTTGTGTGAGGAGCAAACTGCACGTCTGTGCACGTGTTTGTCGAATCTGTTTTTGGAGTCTGGATTGCTGATGTACATCTCTCCTTTACGGACCGCTCATGTCTTGTTTTGAGAAAGAATGGCATCGGAGAAACAATTATCATTTATTCAACAACAAACATCGAGCGACTGCTTTGGAACTGAGAAGGTCTCGTCTTGCAGTGGTCTGTGTGTGTGTGTGTGTGTGTGTGTGTGTGTGTAGGTGTAGGTCTACCTGTCCTGAATGTACTCGAAAGACAAAGTGGTGGTTAGGTTCGCTTGTCGTCGCTCACGTCATGACAGGGAAGCATCTGGCCCGCTCTGACTTCAGTTAGTTGTCCCATCTCGTCGCTGATGTCTTCAACACTCTTGCTGCTGTCGTCGCTTGCAGTTGTCGGCTCTGTCACCTGAAAGGAGGCACAAAAGATGGTGATAGAAAAATCTGGTGAGGTGATCTAGCTGTGTTGAAAGAGTGGCGCAGGCCAACCTCCTGTATGATAGGCCCGGGAATATCCGGCTGGCAAGATGAGAAGTAGAGAGTGGCCTCTGCAAAGTCTGGGTCTCGTGTAGGATCCTCTGTGGAGAATCTGCTGCGCCAGGGTAGAAAGGCTGGCAGCCAGGTTTTTTGGAACATTCCAAAGGCGTCAGGCAGTGCCTGCGGGGTCTTGGCCTGGCTACTTGGCGTCACTCCGACTGCAGGAATTGCATTTGTTAACTGTCCTCCGACAGTCTTGTCAAAGGCGACATTGCTCTTGTTCTTGTGTAGGAAGGGGTCATCCAGCTGGCTGCCCAAAGTAGGACGGCTATTCATGGGAGTCGAAGGCACTAAATGCTCACAATCCAGCAAGGGGAAGTCGTTGCTTTCAAACCCGAGATCCGTCTCCTCTGAGCGCATTCGGCCACGCTGCTCATGCATCAGCATCCACCGACGTCGTGTCGCTGTGAGCTGTTCCAACTCGCAAGGAGGTGCGCTGGTCCCTTGGACAGTGGCCCCAGTCGTCGTCTGCAATGGTGGAGGCGGCGATGTGTCGAAAGCATTGAGCCACTCTGGTGGACAAAATCTCTCATCGGCACTGCTTCCCTCCTCCACCACCGCCACCACATCACCATCCATTTTGGGCAAAATTGAAGTCAAATCCATGTCTGACTTGTGTGAAGAGAAGAGCATGAGATTGGCCAGCTCCTGGTCGTCAGTAGCCACCGCAGAATCTGTCGTGGTGGTGGTAGTGGTGGCGGTGGGTTTTTCAGCAGAAGTGAAAATCTGACCCGTAGAAGATCGTCGGCGTCGATGGTCGCGACTGTTGACGTGCAAGTCGTTGGCACTGGTGCCGCTAAACACGACAGGCTCGAAGGGGTTTTGCTGGTGCTGAAGATACGTGTAGCCATGACTGGCGTACTCTGTGGCGGTCGGAGCGGTGTTGGTGGAGTGACAGTAGGTGGACGAGGATGAGGGTGGACATGGCATGGTGGTCATGGGATAGGATGCATTGTAGAGACAGGGGCGGTGATGACGATGTGCCATCGGTGTGGTGTATTGACCACGAGGTGTTGAGAGGAGGGAGGAGGTAGCATGCGGGATGCAGTAGCGAGCCGAGAAGTGGTGCTGCGGATGTTGCCGCAGATGTTGTGTAATGTCATCCCAGTTGGTGGCGTTGTGAAAACGGTGAGTGTTTGGCGGTAGACAGCGCATTTGCCGATCAAACTCCGAGGTCTCCGTGACCAGTCGAGATAACTCTGGGGAGAGCAAAATTTTACCTATTTGAAGTAAAAAAGAACAAACTCCGCTGATTATGAAGCCTCCAGAGGAATGTGAAAATGAACAGTCAATGCGAACCCATCACACGTACGGTTATTCAGGAAATTCGAAAAGTACGAAGACCAAACTGATAAAATAGAAAAAGCTGGTGATTAGTCCCAAAAAGGAGGGGTCAAAACACTTTGCGTTTGATGATTAGCACGTACGGCTAGGAGCCAGATTGGGCAACAGGTAGGGGCATATGTTGAGGAAAATCGGCGACGACTCTAACAGGTGCAAAGATGTGCCAAACATTAGACAGACGACAGGTGGGTGAAGTGAACGAACAACAAACGCAAACGTACGTCCAGTCAAGAGATTAGGTGCAAGAGATGGTCCAGCGATCGTTATCGGCGCAGACAAATCTAACAGTACCAGGAGGGGCGATAAAAGAGGTTATACTGGGATAGAAGGCAGTGGTAAATCAACACCGTCTTACGTACAAGGCGGGGAGAGAGGTCTGATGGAAGAGTACTGTGGTACAGTGCAAATTGGACAACGCTCTAAGAGGTGGACAGAGTTAGATTGTGAACACAATTAAACCACCAAAAGGGGTATTTTCTCAGAACGCGAAAGATGAAAGGTGAGAACAAACGGCATATAAACGCGTGCTAACCATGGCTTTGAACAAAGTGAGAAGCAAAAACCAGAAAGCTCAGTAATCCAACAATTGTTAGCGTCTAGTATACAAGAGTCACGCACAATATGATATGCTAACATTACTGGGACTGCGCATGGTAGTAAGTCCTAGTCCGAGCCAATCCAGACAATCAAGAGACACGTAACAACGACAGTGAATGCACGCACAGAGCAGTGGCTGATGATGAACCAAATCTCGCGTGTGCGAGAACGGAGGTGTTCGCATCGAGCACATCGATGACCTCCAGTCAAATGTGATAGCATGAAAAGACGCACAGTCGAATGGTTTAGGCCAACTGAACGGTGTAAGTGGTTTATAGACGTCCGAGTGTTTGCCAGTGACGATCTCAAATGTAATGCCTCCCGCTATTCTCAACTCACAGTCTCAGCAGTCAGTTCTGTGAA